ATCAATTTATTAACTAATTTTTACTCATGAAAACGTAAAAATGGCTATGTCTTTTCTTATGACTTATTGATTTGTAAAAACGAGCTATTTTTACTTTTCCATTAAAAGCAGGTATACGTCAGTTGCCGGTAGTTTTAGTATTAATAAGTAATATTAGATGTCAATCTTTATTCGTCGATTTTGTGTTTGTTCAGATTACTCGAGGACGCAGGCATCGTTCGCGCTGATCAGTCTGTTCATAATGCTAATGGGCTTCTTCTTTTCCATCTACACGTTTCGCAACCCGCGGTACATGTTCAAGAGACTGGCAGGCGGAATACATTTCATTAGCGGTAATTAACTCTCACATAAATACTTCATAGCATCGAGGGTTGGACGTACCTGTTACAAAATTATAATACTTCGTCCCGGTTCCACGGATTTAAATTGATACTTATATAATCGATGAACATGGAGGAAGTTCGCCTGTTTTACTGTTCACTAGGCTCTACACACTTGTTAGGTAGGTAGAGGACGTTCCGCTCTAATTGATTTTATCCGATTGTAGCGGCTTGCAACATGGTGGTCATACAAGTGCTCCTCTCCTCAATCGACTTCGAGGGTAAACACATGCACAAGACGTATCCGAAGGGTGCGAGTCTGAGATACGATTTCTCTTTGGTACTCGCGTGGATCGTCTTTCTGTGTAGCTTGATCTCTGGATGCGCGTTTATGCTGTTCTCGAGGAAAAGGAAGAGGGACAAAGCGCCCACCGAGGAGATCGCGATGGCCGACGAGCCGACGATCATCGGCCGTTGATCACTTTCTTTGTCTCGTCTAAAGGAACAATTAGACTGTCGCGTGTGCGAGAGAATTTATGATTCGAAAAATGAAAGTAAAAGACGCCCGGTACGTATTTAGTAATTGCTTGCGAGGCTGTCCGTTCGTTCATCCGCGGATTTTAATTTTAATCGTGCGATCAACGTTCGACGTAGCAATGAACGAGTAATCATGGACGCAGGAATGATAGAACAATTTCGCAAGTAATTACGTATCGGAAAAAGCGTGTGGGGACAATCGTACGAAAATCGCGTGAAACGACGAGCGAATAAAAAGCGACTTGTATTTTGAAAGGAATATGTATTTGTTGTCGCCTAACTAATTTCTGAGTGTGAACACAGTTTTGAATCGCTTCGGGAATCCGACGAAGTGAAGCTGCGCCGTGCGAATGCCGACACCTCGCCCTCTCCGAGCGGTTCGATTGATCGATACGAAGTTACCCTCTCGGAGCGATTTTAAAATATGACTCGTGCTATTTCCTCGCGTCGAACGTCTCGTAGCTGGGAAAGATGCTATTTTTGTACCACGTCAAAACTGTCTATGCTTACGATATTATTCAGCGGGACCATTGAACGCAAATTCAAAGACCTCTCCCGTTCGGAACTTCTGCCAAAACACGATTCTAAACGAAAAGAGAAAAGAAGAAACCGTTGAACCTACGGAAGTTCTAAAAATGATTGTCTATATTTTTCTACCTTCCATACTGAACACACCTACCGCGGGAACATTTTGAACATCCCCGAAACAGTCCTCTACTTTTTTAGAAGTAGCCTCGAATAACATGTCGATGTATATGTATAACTCTACGAGTCTTAATTCAACGTGGAAATCGTGTCTTGTAGGATCTTAGACAATGTGTAATTGAAACGTCCATTTTCAGACGTAATTAATACCTGTGTTGTCTAAACTTAGCCACATTCGTCTCAAGTTTCTAAAACTACTTTGAGAACTCGATGCGTTAAAATCGCGTAACTTTGCAGTCTCTGATGTCATTAACTATGGCGAATTTAAATTCTATTGTTGACAGAAGATACTTAGAATTTTCTGAAACTTCGTACTTAAACGCAGTCATTCAATTCTGCTAAAGACGGAATTAAAACGGATGATAAATTACTTTAGCACGATTGAACCGATTGTCAGTTGAACTCAAATATATTCTAGTCATGAAAGATATCTGATAAAAATTATGCGATAAATGACGAGGTGAAATTGTTTTTTAATTATTTAACATTATTTATCTCGCATTAAAATCTTAGCACTGTTACAAGTACTACTTAAGTCCACGATTCTAGTCGATAACGCAATTCAATCGTACAATTTAATTAAGCCCGCGTTGGTTCTTGCTAAGAGGATATTAATTAAAGTTCGAAGACACGTTAGATAATACTCCGCCTCTGTGCAAATAATATCACGTCCAATCTCGAATTGAATCTCCTGTAAACGAATCGAATCTCTTGCATATTTCAGTGCAAGTTCTGCGAACTCAGATTACCTTGAGATATAATAAGTCACCTAACATGTATATTCGTTTTCGAACACGAGGTTTAATTTATTTCCTGAGATAAGGTAAAATATGTCTTGCTTTATTCTCGCACTCACTCGCTCGTGCGATGATAAGATGCAATATTGTAAAACGAAAAGCAAATTTGTTTACGATGCATTCTTTGGTTGTTTGAATTTCAAGTTTGTTGACCTTTATGTAAGATAATTTTGTGTATCAATGTAAGCTGATGTAATTAAATGTCGTATGAATCGGCGAACATTGATCGCAGGATGAATTATACGAAAGAAGATTGAGAAGTTCCTTCGCCTTTCGCTTGTTCAATATATTTAAGCAGCTGTCCACGCGTTTCTGATAAAAGACATCTAATTTATATGTACACGTGTATATGACCATGGAATTAAATGTAATTACTCTTTTTCCACCGAAATAAAGAGTATTCGCATGTACCAATGAGATCGTTAAACCTAACGTTTGTTAATACATCTACATATCCTTATGTGGTATAAATATGTACACAAATAAAATATATGTACAGTGAACTTGTGTACGAGACGTTATCAAGGTTGTTCACTTTTTTATCACGATGACTACCATAAATAAGATACTAGATAAGATTATTAATATGGATTCGCAATTTTTTCATTAATAAGACACAAAAGAAATACATCTAAATACGAAAACAAACTGGAATTCGATAAGGTCCAGTTTTTCGATTTGTTTTATCTATCGATTTTGCGCGTATACTATCTGTGCGTTTTACAGTACGCCTTCGCAGTGTCATCGCGTTCACACGTGAACACGGGTTAGGAGCCCGGTCGTTTTACGCGTCAGTTACATACACGTTCAGTCAGTTTCTCGACAGCCTTCGTTACGGCTCGCAGCACTGACTCACCGTAGTGTACAAAAATAGTTCGAACTTCGTATCGCCTTCCATCGGTTCAGTAAAAAGTACAAATGGAATTCAGATAAGTACATAACTTTTTTGAATTATGATAAAAAAATTATCAGTGTTTTAAAAGACTAAGAACTCACGAAGGTCGGTCAATTATTGGGTCTATGGTGACACTTATGTTCGCCTGACAACTTAAAAGAATGGATTTGTGGTCTGTAATTTTGGCTGGAAGCGCCATAATCCTACTTTATTACTACTTGAAAAGAAAAGACAAGTTCGCGAAACATGGGATTCCTTGTAATAAGACGATTCCGTTTGTCGGAAACTTGTGGAAAGTAATCTTCAGTCGTTGTACTGTTTTCGAGATGGTAGACGAACTTTATAAAGCGCACAAGGAAGCTAAATACATTGGCGGCTACGAGTTCCTATCGCCGATGATTGCCATCCGCGACTTGGAACTGATCAAAACTATCACCGTGAAGAACTTCGATCACTTCACGGACCATCGGGGCATGCGGAGCAACGAGAACGATCCTCTCTTCACGCAGAATCTTTTCTTCCTGAAAGGGGAGAGGTGGAAGGAGGTGAGGAACGTGTTAAGTCCCATCTTCACGTCCAGCAAATTGAAAGGAATGTTCGTTCTGATGAGCGAATGCGCGAAGCGATTCGGCGAGACTCTGGCGAGTCTGCCGACCGACCAGAGGACCGTGGAGCTCAAGGACGCGTTTACTAGATACACTAATGACGTGATCGCCACGTGCGCGTTCGGAATAGAAGTGGACTCGATGAAGGACAGAAACAACACGTTCTACGTCTACGGTAGAGAGGCCACCGATCTCAGTGCCTGGATGATAATGAAATTCTTTTTGTCGAGCGTCTTTCCACGGTTGACCAAACTGCTCAATGTGAAAGTCGTCGATCCGAAGATCGAGAACTACTTTATAAACTTGGTGGAGAACAACATCAAGCAAAGGGAGGAGAAGGGTATCAATCGGCAAGACATGATCCAACTATTGATGGAGAGCAAGGACAAATTGGGGCCGGGGAAAGAATTGTCTATAATAGACATAACTGCCCAGGCTTTCATCTTCTTCTTCGGCGGTTTTGAGACCACCGCGACTTTGATGTGTTTCTCGGCGTATGAAATCGGCGTGAATCCAGATGTTCAGAAGAAAGTACAAGAGGAGATCGATCAAGTGCTAATTGCGTGCAACGGCGAGGTCACTTACGAAGCGCTGATGGGCATGAAATATCTGGACGCTGTCATAAACGAGTCACTGAGGATGTATCCAGTGCAGCCCACGATCGACAGGGTTTGCACCGAAAAGTTCGAACTGCCACCAACGCTGCCAGGCGCCAAGCCGTACATCATGGAGAAAGGTGACACACTGGTGGTGCCGGTTTATGGGATTCTTCACGATGAAAAGTACTTTGAGGATCCGGAAGAGTTCAAGCCTGAACGGTTTTTGAATGATGGAAAGAAGGAAGCTAATGCTACTACCTATTTCCCGTTCGGCTTGGGTCCCAGGATATGTATAGGCAATCGGTTCGCACTGCTCGAGACGAAAGTTCTACTATTTCACATTTTTGCGAAGTGCAATTTAATAATCTGCCCAAAGACGTCGTACCCTATAGTACTAGATAAAAAGAAACTCGGTCTAATGCCAGTGAATGGGTTCTGTTTCGAAATTCAACCGAGAGAAAAATTATCTCCTCCGGTGTAAGAATATATGAACTCTGTTGACAGTAGTATTCATTAGAAATTTTGCTATTTCTACTACTTGTAACAAGGCTTTTATTAAAGCCGTTCTTCTATCTTTAAGGAATATATGTATATTTATATTTGTATTTGTGCACGATGCTAAACTGCTTCCAAAGATTTTATTAATATCCATAATCAGCACATTTAAATACTTATTAGCTATTAACCCATGTTCTGTATCCTTTTGTAAACAATATACAATTAAATATTTTATACTTACAAGAATTTCTGTAAATAGTAGGTTGCTATATTTTTCTACGTAACGAAAGAGGTACATTCGATTGCATACATATTGATATTTAACTTGTTGAAACTTTATTGTACAAATTGTAAAGTTCAGATTAGATTATCACCATCAAATACATAAACAATAAAATTCTATTACATGCTAGTGAACATTGGATTATTTTTATAAACAATGGCAACATTTGTTTTTCTCCTGTTTCGAGGCCAAATATTATGTTCAAATTAGCGTCGAATGATATTTGCTCCTTTTCGCCTTAATTCATTCTTAAAGATCACCGATAACTTTTCGACTCTTACATCTTAACAATTCAAGCCTGAGCATTATAGACCGGGCGCTCGTAACACAAAAAATGGAACAATTTTTTACAGTCTGCCATTGATAGGAAACATATACAGCCACAAGCTGTAGATAGATGTACTTAAAAATGTTCGTTACGTGTTAATGCATACTTAAACATTAACTTCTGTTAGGGATGGTTGCCCTAACTGGGAGCCGAAATAGCAGAATTGGGGTATTAAATAAATATACCGATGTTTCCCTTTGAAACCCACAACCGTTTATTCAGAAAATTAAGAAGATCAAACTAATTAACAACGAAAGACGGGAATGTCAGGCGAACCCTAATTTCCTCGATGTCCGATACCGGCGTGCGTCTCTCTAGGGTTTCTGAAAACAATCGCATAAATAAAATATGTGTACAGTGAACTTGTGTACGCGACGTTATCAAGGTGATCATTTTTTATCACGATGACTACCATAGATAAGATACTAGGTGAGATTATTAATATGGATCCTGCCTATTGATAAATTTCACTCTGGAGTATAAAAGCGATAACAGTTACCAATAGCAAGAGTTAATACTACATAATTTATATTTAATTCTTTTATCTTACTTACTTACTTATCTTACTGAGGAGCCATCGCAATTTTTTCATTAATAAGACACAAAAGAAATACATCTAAATACGAAAACAAGCTGGAATTTGATAAGGTCCAGTTTTTCGATTTGTTTTATCTATCGATTTTGCGCGTATACTATCTGTGCGTTTTACAGTACGCCTTCGCAGTGTCATCGCGTTCACACGTGAACACGGGTTACGAGCCCGGTCGTTTTACGCGTCAATTACAGACACGTTCAGTCAGTTTCTCTACAGCCTTCGTTACGGCTCGCAGCACTGACTCACCGTAGTGTACAAAAATAGTTCGAACTTCGTATCGCCTTCCATCGGTTCAGTAAAAAGTACAAATGGAATTCAGATAAGTACATAACTTTTTTGAATTATGATAAAAAAATTATCAGTGTTTTAAAAGACTAAGAACTCACGAAGGTCGGTCAATTATTGGGTCTATGGTGACACTTATGTTCGCCTGACAACTTAAAAGAATGGATTTGTGGTCTGTAATTTTGGCTGGAAGCGCCATAATCCTACTTTATTACTACTTGAAAAGAAAAGACAAGTTCGCGAAACATGGGATTCCTTGTAATAAGACGATTCCGTTTGTCGGAAACTTGTGGAAAGTAATCTTCAGTCGTTGTACTGTTTTCGAGATGGTAGACGAACTTTATAAAGCGCACAAGGAAGCTAAATACATTGGCGGCTACGAGTTCCTATCGCCGATGATTGCCATCCGCGACTTGGAACTGATCAAAACTATCACCGTGAAGAACTTCGATCACTTCACGGACCATCGGGGCATGCGGAACAACGCGAACGATCCTCTCTTCACGCAGAATCTTTTCTTCCTGAAAGGGGAGAGGTGGAAGGAGGTGAGGAACGTGTTAAGTCCCATCTTCACGTCCAGCAAATTGAAAGGAATGTTCGTTCTGATGAGCGAATGCGCGAAGCGATTCGGCGAGACTCTGGCGAGTCTGCCGACCGACCAGAGGACCGTGGAGCTCAAGGACGCGTTTACTAGATACACTAATGACGTGATCGCCACGTGCGCGTTCGGAATAGAAGTGGACTCGATGAAGGACAGAAAGAACACGTTCTACGTCTATGGTAGAGAGGCCACCGATCTCAGTGGCTGGATGATAATGAAGTTCCTCTTGTCGAGCTATCTCCCACGGTTGGCCAAACTGCTCAATATGAAAGTCGTCCATCCGAAGATCGAGAACTACTTTATAAACTTGGTGGAGAACAACATCAAGCAAAGGGAGGAGAAGGGTATCAATCGGCAAGACATGATCCAACTATTGATGGAGAGCAAGGACAAATTGGGGCCGGGGAAAGAATTGTCTATAATAGATATAACTGCCCAGGCTTTCGTCTTCTTCTTCGCCGGTTTTGAGAGCACCGCGACTTTGATGTGTTTCTCGGCGTACGAAATAGGCGTGAATCCAGATGTTCAGAAGAAAGTACAAGAGGAGATCGATCAAGTGCTAATTGCGTGCAACGGCGAGGTCACTTACGAAGCGCTGATGGGCATGAAATATCTGGACGCTGTCATAAACGAGTCACTGAGGATGTATCCAGTGCAGCCCACGATCGACAGGGTTTGCACCGAAAAGTTCGAACTGCCACCAACGCTGCCAGGCGCCAAGCCGTACATCATGGAGAAAGGTGACTCCCTGGTGGTGCCGGTTTATGGGATTCTTCACGATGAAAAGTACTTTGAGGATCCGGAAGAGTTCAAGCCTGAACGGTTTTTGAATGATGGAAAGAAGGAAGCTAATGCTACTACCTATTTCCCGTTCGGCTTGGGTCCCAGGATATGCATAGGCAATCGATTCGCACTGCTCGAGACGAAAGTTCTACTATTTCACATTTTTGCGAAGTGCAATTTAATAATCTGCCCAAAAACTACGTATCCTATGGTACTAAATAAAAAGACACTCGGTATAATGCCAGTGAATGGGTTCTATTTCGAAGTTCAACCGAGAGAAAAATAATCTCCTCCGGTGTAAGAATATATTAACTTTATTGACAGTAGTATTCATTAGAAATTTTGCTATTTCACTTGTAACAAGGCTTTTATTAAAGCCGTTCTTCTATCTTTAAGGAATATATGTATATTTATATTTGTATTTGTGCACGACGCTAAACTGCTTCCAGAGATTTCATTAATATCCATAATCAGCACATTTAAATACTTATGAGCAAGTAACCCATGTTCTATATCCTTTTGCAAACAATATACAATTAAATATTTTATACTTACAAGAATTTCTGTAAATAGTAGGTTGCTATATTTTTCTACGTAACGAAAGAGGTACATTCGATTGCATACATATTGATATTTAACTTGTTGAAACTTTATTGTACAAATTGTAAAGTTCAGATTAGATTATCACCATCAAATACATAAACAATAAAATTCTATTACATGCTAGTGAACATTGGATTATTTTTATAAACAATGGCAACATTTTTTTTCTCCTGTTTCGAGGCCAAATGTCATGTTCAAGTTAGCGTCGAATGACATTTCCTCCTGTTCGCCTTAATTCATTCTTAAAGACCACCGATAACATCTCGAGTCTTACATCTTAACAATTCAAGCCTGAGCATTAGAAATATATATAAAACAAAATTAATTTTCTCACCACTTGAATTTTTCATATCGTAAATCGAGTTATAGGTGTTTAAATTTATTTACAAGTCCTCGCGGAAACTACGTCAAACGTCCATAATCTCCGTCCTGCAGTAAGTCAGGATGTTAATTTATTTGGAAAATTGACTATCGTATAAAAAACTTATCAGCTATTCATAGTTGCGTTAAAAATTGATGCGATTAATGAGCTCTGTACATCGAATGGAGTTAAAGTTCTTCTAGCCGATTCGTTTTCTGAACACGTTTGTGATATAGTCTCGTTTGATCACTGTTCCATTTTTTAAAACGTTATTTCACGTTTGACAATCCCTTTTTAATCATCTCTTTCTTATTGCAGTCTTCAGAAAATCTTTTATCTCATCTTAACATTATAGAGACTTCAAATTCAAATCAATCTATTCGCATATTATAAAATTAAATCAAATCACGATTCGCAGTCTCAGTTGACTTAAATCTTGGCAAACATGTCGCAGTCTTGTTTCACACTTTCGTATCGTTCTACTGCAGGAACAAATATAATTCTACAATATATGTATAATATATTATAATAGAAAATTACAGTTATCGGTAACCAGGATATAAAATGACACAAGTATCTTCTATCGCGAATTCATTCCTTACAATGTCTATTAAACTCTTACACATCACGTAAACATATTAAATACTATACATATACGATTCGAAATACAAATTTTACGAACTCGTCGAATCGTTAAATTAATTGTCCTCACGCTTTCTTCCTTTCAACGAGGAAGGGACGGTTTTCGTTTTAACAACGCTACTCTCGTGATATTCGAATAATGATCGAAGGCCAAGACTGGCAGTAAATTGGTTGATTAAATCCATTGGTAAGAAGTCTATCGAGTCTCTCATGTCTGCATCTCAGTCTGTCTTCGAAAGATCGCCTTCATTAAGTATCCAGTTTCTCTCGCAAAAACGCGAGGAAATCGAAGATATAAATTGATATCCGCTGCTATCAATATTCATTCTTCTCACTTCATGTTATTCATAGAACTGTCGCGTTTTCTATATAAAAAACTGCAAACAGATAATCTAGTATCCTTGTATTTACTTTTTGTGCGTTTGACGGATGAAACCTCCGATCGCGTGTCTCATTAAAAAGCGATTCGTTTAATCGCCGGCTATGTCGTGGTCCTCCTCGGTCTCCGCTTCCTCCTCCTCTTCCTCCTCTTCGTCAGTTTCTACGCTCTGCACCAGCCTGGCGTATCTGCATAGGAAGATCACAAAGAGACTCGTTTGAAAAGCATCGATTTTTTTTAATTATTTCCGTTTGTATTAAAAGAAGTAATAAATATCTTCGTATTCTGTTAATTACTAATTAATGTATGGGACGAATGCAAGGATACCTGACGGTATATCAGACGGGAGTAGTTTTCCTAAGCGTGTCGAAAACCCATTCGCTGCATCTAACTGGCGGCGGAGGTGGCAGAGGTTCGTCCAGATCGAAAGTGACAAATTCGTGTTGGACGCTCGAACTGTACTCCTCCTCCTCCTCCTGAAGGACATCGGCAGTCGTACTGACCTGAAAATGATTTCAATAAATTCTGCTCCTTTGTGATTCAAGACTTTATTCACCGTTTGGGTGGTGATGTCTCTAGGAAACTGTCTGGGATAATCGTGGTAGTCCAAGTTCGGCGGCGGTGGCAGGAACTCGTCGATGTCGACGTGGTCCACCGAATCCCTGCCGAAGAAGTATCTCTTCTGATGCCTCTCGCATAGGAATCCGCTGTGACCGATGCTCGCGTGATGCACGTGGTGATTGTCTAAGTGGTAGACACCCTGAAAACATCGCGAAAGGAGAAGAAATTTTCCTTCATAAACTACTATCTCGTCGTAATTAAACATCGCAGGGATTAAGCAAACGAAAAGGAGAAAATTCTGTTGCTCCGTTAAATTATTCGTTTAATATCAGAAGCATTAAGGGTTGATGGCTGCAGAATGAAATTAGGTCGTACTCGTAAAAGATACATTAAACCCCAATCTGCATAATTATCTCGCAAGTGTTTAGACAGAGAAATCCAATTGAAATTTGCATTAGAAAAACAAAGGACGTCCTTAATTCCGATTAGTAAAACTCGAAATGTAGACGAAACGTTTGCCATAAAATTTGTACACATTTCTTTGTCAGGCAGATCGACAGGAATTTTACAGCAACGTTAAAAATCGTACAATGCCTGTAAACAATCTCAGTATTTATCCGGACGGGATAATAAATTTCAGCGTTAAAAGAATCGTGGTAGGAAGTGAAACGAGCGCCGTGCGCACATATGTAACAGTCAAAAGGACAAGGTTGACGGTCGGGCGGATGGTTGACCTGTTCCACTTGCACTGTTCCACCGCACGGGAAAGCATCGCGCTTCCGGCGCGGCGAGGGGGGTGGACGGATCGGTTCGCGGCTCTAACGGAGAGACTCTACGGTTACACGGATCGCTTTAGCCGCGCGAATTGTTCTCTTCCCTTTTCTCCGTCGCGTTTTCTTTTCCTCCCTCAGCGGCTGCTACCCGCGTCTGCCCTGTTCCCGTCACTTCGTCGCTCCATTATTTCCTCCCCCGATACTTTCTGCCTCATACCGTTCCCTATTCTTAATTAAACGAATTAAGTTACTATTTCAGAAGGTTGATGCTTCGCTCGTTATTAGATTTTTACGTAAAAAGAACAGGCGCAATCTCTACGGAACATCGCGGACGTCCTGTTGTTTACGAAGGAATTATGAACATTTTAAATTGAATGATATAAAATAATATATCATTTAAAGCGACGCTTCAATTAAAATTTGAGAAACGGAGACTGTATGAATATTCCACGTGCTTTGATGAAATTCTATCGATTTCATTTGGCGAGCGGTACTCGAAAAAAGATCGCGAGAGCCACAAAGGGAAAGAGAACCGATACTTTTAATCTTCGCCCCGTGTGAGAATCTGTTGGGGTCGCGATGCGAGGAGTGTCACTTGTTTCAAAACTACGATGGCATCGCGCGAACGAGATCTCGAGTATTCGAAAAGGCCGAGATAGCCAGCCAGCACTCCGCTCTGCTCCGCTGTTTCGCCTCGCATTTTCACTCGGCGCCTATTTACCGGTTTTAAACGTGATTTAACTCTTGATGGGCTGTAATTCAGTTAGAATAAGTCGGCGAATTCGTTTCCAGTTGGTTTTAATGGAAGCCGGGATGCGAAAATCTGATTATACAATCGCGACAAACGTGATCAACTATCGATCCCGGATTTTCTCGCTCCACGTTTAATCGCACTGTTTTTAAGGTGAATAAATTGAAACGTTACGTAGTGGCAGCGATTTAAGTCTGACGCCGTTCTAGTGGACCGTTTTAATAGGGCATTGTCAACCGGCGCTATTGTTTGAAATTAGCACAGCGACATGTGCCGAAGTCGAATTAAATTCTGAAATAATTCGCGTGGAATCCTGTTTTTCATATTGCAATTTCGTTCATTAAATCAGTCGGGGGTTCCGTGCGGAATGTATCGCGTTAATACGCGTTGTTTTAAACATATGTAACTGGACTTGGACAGAGCGTTCCGTGAATCATGTTCCCCGGGAATAAATCTGCGCCAGGCTCCGCTCGAATACGAACGCGCCTGTTTAAATAATAAACGTGTAATTCAGCAAAAAGTGGATGAATAATACAACTAAACACCAGCCGAGGTATTATAATCGTACAACTTGCTCGAGAATGACGGGGCAAACTTTTTGACACGAAAACTTCTCAGTCGTAGATAAACTTCACGCTTAAATTTGCAGTTCGTATGCGAGAGGCGCGCGGCCCGAGTGGATATTTAGCAGAGCTGCAAATTTATTTGCCCAAGAGTTCCCGTTTACTCTCTTCAGAAAATTGTGCGAAACGCGTAAACGAAAAATCGATATAGTAAATTACGCGATTAAAATTCATTATTTACGAAATCTTCGAAACGAATGTGACGCGTTTCGAAGGAAGTCGATTTGAATACTGTTTCTGATGTTTCGCCAAATGAGAGGACCGGGGAACTTTTAAAACGGATGTTAATTCGGTCCAAGTTTCATTTTTTGTTCTGGGATAGAGGCCGAAGTCGTGTAGAAGAGAAGCTGATACTACCAACCCCGTAATTTTTTCGCTTGGAATCTCTCCGTACGAGTTCTTTCTGGTGCCAAGATATATACAAGAAGATGGCGTAAGTGCCAGCGACCTCGGTCGTGATGAAGCCGCTCACGTACAGCAGAAATGAGAATCCGTACCTGTAGGTGAACGGTGGTCCCTGTAAAATCGCAAAGATTGCGGCGAGAGATGTCTCATTCACACGGGCCCATCATTGCGGGTAAGATTTAATCTAAGGTTCGCCCGAAACGGAAATGTGAGACCGAGGATTTCATCAGTCAGCTGATTACAGTTTTAAATATAATTTAAATGGAAATAGGCAATACGTTTTTTTTTTTTCGACGCGTGATTTAAATTCTTGATAAGATAGTTTTTAATATTAAAGAAAAATTGTACGAGGGACATAAGTTACGTTGGAGATTCTGACCTGAAACGATGACCGAGGTCTGAGCTTGCTACCGACTTCAGCTTTGAACACGGATATGTACATCACCATTCCCACGAGCATTAACAAACCTGTGAAAAGGAAACCGATTTAATAACTCGACTCTTATCTAAACGAACCAGTCCTCCCCGCAATTTCACGGGGATTGAGCGGGACTCGCGTAACGCGATTATTTCAACTTTAATCCACCCTGCGCAACGTTAAATATAACTTTCTGATTCCTGCTTCGTCCCGTCTTGTAAAATACTACAATACATATTTCTCGTTTCCTAATAAACTGTGGAAAATGTAACAACTTCTTCAAAGGAGATGGAAGGGACGAAGCTACTTCCTGTTTTGCAATAACGTTATAGACGCGGGAGTTCTCTGTACTCATAATGTCTCTTCGGAAAAACAGCGGCGCGCGCGAAGTATAATACAAGCCCCGTGCACTTTATTACTCACCGGAAACTATGAAGACCACCCCGGCGACAAAGACGCAAAGCCTGTGTCTCGGGTGAGTAACGTGAGCAGTGAAGTAACAAACTTCGGCCACCACCAGCAGCGATGTTGCAGCGAAGAAGAACATTGCCGACTTGGTAACTGCATCTGCAGTCAAAAAATATGAATATGAAGCGGCGGACGAATGAGAAAAGTTCACCGTTGAAATTCCTTTTTCTTATCGCGAAGATTACACTTCGGTCGTAGCAATTCTAAGGTCTAGACGCGGAAACAGAAGACTCCCCGAACTGTACGAACGGGCCAAGAGCGAGGAACGAATTAAAAATTCGCAGAGGAATTTTCCACGAATTTTTCCAGCGTTCCACGGCGCGATGCCGGACCGCGGGAAACAGAGGCTGACCAAGAGGGAACGGTGGGGGAAATTGGGATAGACAAATTGTCGGATCCAGTTTATCATGGATGGTACATTCTCTCCCGGTTGAAAGCATTTTCCCGCCCGAATATTTTACGAGCGCCGTCACACTCGAGTTCAGCGGCAGACAGAGGACACCTAATCAACCCCTTCAAAGGCAGCGTCCTCATCCTACATGCCGCCCCATCCAGTTCCGTCTGTCTCGCGTTCCCTCGCGATACTCACATGGTATTGCCATCGTTGAATCGCTCGGATCCGGGCTGTACTCCTCGTTCGGAAAATAGTCAATGCTCGAACACTCGTACTCCATGCGCGAGCCTGGAACAAAAAGGAAAACAGGCCGATGACGTGTTTTATTTATTTATTCCCCCTGTCGCAAAATTGCTACGAACGTAAATTCGGTCCTGTTTTCGGTTACAGGTACCGCGCTCGCGGATACACTTCCGCGAGCGGATCTCGTTTCATCCGCACAGTTTTATGCGTTTCCGTTGTCGTCGCACGGGCGATCGTTATTAATATCGGCTCACTATTCCCTTTGCTGTCCACCTCACACGAAATCCGAGAACGTTACTTAAATCACACGCTGCAATCCGGATTTCCAAAACACTTTCCATTTATATTACTGTACATTTAATATGATCAAGTTATAACAATCGAGGATCTTTCATTGATTTCCATTTTTCAAAACGGAACGCGCCCGCGGCTCGTACATAGACGCTCATTAAAACTTTGGCTCACAATAAGTCGGGTATTATTCGCACAGTAATTAAAACGACTGCATTCAGTGCGGAGGATACTCGCGATTCGACTGCAGCGTTCAATTATCTTTTCTCCGGTCCGGTATTGATCAAATATTATTATCCCATCGAATCGGATCGGATCGGGTTTAAAGATGACGGCACGACACAGGAACGCTTTTATTCTTTCAATCAGACTGAAACGGATCTCTGGATTAATTATTAGCTTAATTGCAATATTATCTTCTCCGCAAACATTGCAAGGACGCGATTCGAAATCAAAGGAGCGAAAATGTAATTTATAGCTGAATCAGTGAATCATTCGATCTCAGCTGGAAATGAATATTCCGTCTATCTCTGTCGCACCGGATTTAATTGAAACGAAGCCATGACTCGCGAGACTCTCTGCGTTATTAGACCGCCCGCGCGCACCGTGACGATTCTATTTTATGCGATTCGATTTGAGCGTGATCGATACCGCGGTCTGAAATAAATCTTACACGCGTTCTTGCTGGCATCGCTGTTGACACAAATAGAACACACTGCTCTCTCGCCGGAAACCAGTTGATCGAGCGACGCCTGTGAATGCATTCCTGTTTCAAAGTTCTTACCTTCAAACAAAATTCCTATCGCGTCAGAAAACAAACTTTGAGGAGTATGTATTATTCATTTTCTATTCCAGTCTTATTACGACGAATTTGAATCTAACAATTTTAACAAGGTAGACACTTTTAAATAGGAATGTTAATCGAAATTCGATTATCCAGACTATGCGAGTCTGTCGTACGTTTTATGAATATGCTGTCATAAAATCTGGAAGTTCGAAAAAGGAAATGGCCAGAAATCTATGGGAACGTCCATCACGTGCCATCAAACTGATGGGTACCTACACATTTTTTTTTTTTCGCTTTTCGTCACCGAATATTACAGACACCAGGCAACTTTATTTTCTCTCTGGTTAGCCAGTTTAGTCAGGGAAGTAGCAAACATTTTGATCTCGCAAACAGACAAACGGAATTAGGGTTAAAGACGACCACCGAATAAATGAGTATGTTACCCGAATCATTAAACATTCCGTTTCACAGCTGCGCAAGCCAAGCCAGAAACAGGTGGTAAAACGCGGCCGTATTTCCACGGTATTTACCTTTGGTACACTCTGTCACACAAGACTTGTGTGATCGTTGTTGAAGTAAAAGCTACAAAGAAAATCAAGTTAGCACTTTTGCTTGAAATGATCAGTAACAATGTTTCACGATTCCATATTAATTGTAATTTAATTTAAACAAATTTTACGATAGTCAATTAATAAAAATGAATTTTATATGCAATTTCGTTTTATTTTTACATGCATGAAAATTATATATTTAAGATAAAGTCCTAATCGTTGGTCAAAAGGAGTGATTACTATCAGTATTTTGAATATGTAAATTTTGTTGAAGAGATAGCTCGTTGAAATTCTCGTGGATAAACGACAATTTCGAACCTATTGGGATTCTGGATAAAAGATTGTCGGAACGTAAATTTGCGGTGAATTCGGTGATGGATGCTCAGGTATATCGCGGCTATCGATCAACGCGTTTCTCAAAATCATCATCCGCCAAGGTAGCGAAGAGCGCGGACGGTTCTATACAGCTGGTCTACGGTAGCGAAAAGAGGGAGCGGGGAATTGGGTTGGCAGCCGTGGAACAGTCATTTCCGGTTCGTGCCGGAAGTCGGCCGTATTGCCTACCCTTCGACAATCGAGAATCGATATTCCAGGTTCGTTGCCGGCATGCTCGCCTATAGTGGCATAACAGAAATAATAACTCGGCTCGTGTAATCGTGGCTGCTGTTCAACCGTGACCGGAACCGCTGTCCCTTTGACGATTTGCCAATAATTTTTCATACCGTAAAATCCTTCGATTGTAGACAATTTTGCATTTCTGATGAGCAGAACAGATGTGCATATATACTTCAAAAGTGCAAAAGACGGAACAGAATTGTTTTTTCTATTCAAGTCCAATAGCATGTTCACCCCTTGACATACAAATTAAATGGAACTTTATATACAAATTAAATGGAATGAATGACGAGTCAAACTCGTCATTGTATGTCAAGGGGTTAAGTAAGAAGTGACGAAAAGGTGACCCTCCAGATGCGGGTCACAAGTTCTTAAGCTCTCAAGAACTTTTTCAATCTACACTCGGGAAGCGTATCGTTTAATTAAAAGTAACTCCGTTCTTCAAATAATTTAAGAGTTTTCCTTATGGACGAGGTCCAACAATTTTCTGATGCACACAGTAATTCGGAAGAAACTGGATATATCGACCAGGAGACGAAGTATACAACGAAATAGGATATCATACCAATTTGCAACCGCGAGGCAAAGGGAGCCCAGTGTATGTGGCGCGCGTTTCGTTTTCCCCGGTGTGACATTATTTAACATCAGCGCGACTAATTGGTATAAACGGGTTGGACTACCTGGACACGTTACGAAGACACTGGCCCGGCCACGATTACTCTATTAAACGCGCAGGGAACATTTGTCACGGCGGCTGAGTTTTAACATCGCCGGCCTGCATTTGTCTGCGGGAACTTGTATTTCGATAACACCAAAATTCGCTTTATCTTCGGTCCGAACGAATATCCACATAGTCTTTTCCCATAGACTTTTAACTTCAGTATTTAACGAGTTACGTATGATTATTTGGCATTTTATTGATGTTGACAAAATCCGACCATCCCAGCGTCGAAACGGCGAACTTTTGGCAAAAAATTTCATTTTTCCTTAATTACTCCTAAACCGTTGAATCTACGGGAAAATTGTATAGAACCTTTCTTATAGAGGACGAAGAGATCTACAATTTCAGTATAAAAGTTTTCCTCTAGCATTAATATTTAACGAGTTATTGACGAAAAACGAAGAAACAGTTTTTTGCAAATTACTCGTTAACTATTGACGCTAGAGAAAAACTTTTATACAGAAATTGTAGATCTCGTCGTCCTCTACAAGAAAGGTCCTATGCAATTTTTTCATAGATCCAACGGTTTGGGAGTTATTGGCCAAAAACGAAAATTTGGAAGAAATTGAAGGGGTACCCCTTGGAAAAATCTCGGAAAAATCGAAAAAATTTTTTTTGTCAAAATATCGAAAAATATAGAAGTATATTCTAAACATAAGCTTGATTAATCGGCGTTTTATTTGTACTGACAAAATCCGGCCGTTCCTCCGTCGAAACAGCAAAATTGTGGCAGAAAATTTCGTTTTTTCTCAAATACTCCCAAACAGTTGAACCATATTTGTACCTGATAACTAGAGCTACAACTTTTGTTTGAAATATTTTTCGCTAGCGTCAATAATTAACGAGTATTCGACGAAAAAAGACAAAAGAGTTTATTACAAAATACTCATAAACTATTGAGGCAGGGAAAAATATTTCATATGAAAGTTATAGTTTTCAGTGGTGCCTACAACTTGTGTTTGAAACATTTTTCGCTAGCGGCAAACAGTAAATAGTTATTGGCAAAAAAGAAAGATTTCACAAAAGCCC